TGCTCGCACTGGTCCCCCCTGGACAGCACAGCACAAGGATGTCAGGAGGGCCGGGGGGATGCTGCAGCCCACACACTGCCCCCAGCATGGCACCAGTGCCCAGCCCCCCAGCCCGGGATGGGGGAGCACCCCCTGCTCACCCACCCCCTCCCCATGCCCATACTTGGGGTAGGTGGAGGTGACTTCCAGGTTCCCATCGGCGGTGCTGGAGATGACTGTGGTGCACATCTTCATCAGGTGCTTCTTCTCCTTGAACCAGTTGGAGTTGGAGGCCAGGCCGATGCTGTACCATCTCCCCGTCAGCTGCACACAACCTCTGCTCAGCCACCAGCTGGGCGCAGACCCCGTCTCGCCCCTCGGCCGCCTGCCAGCCCCAGCCCAGGTCACCTCCCGCTCCCCTGCCAGCCTGCGGGACGGCGTCCTGGGGTCCTCGCCCCCCAGGGAGCTGCTGCAGCTCTCGGCGTCCACAAAACCCAGCAGCCAGGAGACTTCTGGTTTGTGATGTACCCTTCACTGCCTGGTACTTGGGGTCTTTCCTTCCTCTTCGCCCCAAGCCCAGGGAGGGGGTGACAAGACCGCCTGGCTCTAAGATGCCATTTGTACCCGTCCAGGGGCATGGCAGGGCCCCGGGGCCAGCACAGCTCATCCCAGCCTGGTCCTCAGGGCCACTGGCTCAGTGCAACCAGAGGGGAGCTGCCAGCCTTGGAGATGGGCTGTGCTGGGACCACCCTGTCAGGATGTGCCATGCCATGCCCCATCCTTGCAGGACGTGCCTCCATCCCCGTCACCCCCCTGGGCTGGCTGTGTCCCCTAGGGCCCCTCCAGGGGCTCCCCCAAGGAACAGGCAGCGTGGCCCCTGCGCCGGCTCGGTGACACCCCAGGGCTGTGGGGCTGGGAGACCAGCACGCGGCTGGGCCAGGGCTGTCCTGTGCCGGGTCTTGCCCATCAGGGGGGGGAGGAAGGGGAGTCCAAGCCCCCCAAGCATGCCAGCACCCAGGGGCTGGGGGGTCAGAAGGGTGCATGGGATCCCCCAGCACAGCAGCCCTTGGATTTTTGGCACCCTGGGTTGGGGTGGATGGGGTCTGTGTTGCAGGGGGGCGGTTCATTGCTCCTCTCTGCTGCCCATGAAACAGAGCTTGTTTTTCTCAGTCCCTACAAAATCCCTGTGCATCTACACCCACCCCACAGCGCAGGAGATGGCCCCACAGGCTGGGATCCTGCATTCCCGCCAGAGCCACCCAACCCAGGCCCCAGGGGCTCCCCAGGGACAGGGGGCTGTGGGGGCACCGGCTGCCCTGCCCCTCCCAGCACCACTGCCAGCCTGACCCCAAATCCACCTCCAGCACCACCTCCACACATTTTCAGGGTGAGGATCCCCCAAAGCACCATAAACCCCCATGCAGGTGATGCCGGCCAGGCTGGGTCACCTTGTCCTGCTGGAAGTCAGTTTGCAGGGGAGCGCCGTCCTGCGCGTGCAGAGCCCCGAGCAGGGCCAGCCCCAGGACGCTGAGCAGCGTGGTGTGCATGTCCTCCGCCGAGCCGA